TATATATATATATATATATATATATATATATATATCATATATCCTATAAGAGTTTTAACACTCAATATGCATCAATAGTGTCAAATTAACATTTATGCTACATAATAATTTTGCCACTAAAGTACATAGAGATTACAAATCTGCCAAATTACATCTACGGCTGGTTATTGGTGAGAAAATTTGGTTTCTGGAATCTAAACCACAAATCAACGCTAAGTGGCTAAGCATTTTCTTCTTTTTTTTTCTTTTAAGAAGGGGCTGCTTTTATCTGTAATGAACTCTATAAAATATTTATATTCACATGTGTTAACAGCGGGATAAAACCTTTGCTAATATGCTGTAATTCCTTTCTACTGTGCCGAGTTCTTGATGCTGCTGTGCCTTCTAGACTCATTTAGAAGAGTGGTGCTTCTTTCTGATTGTTGCTTTGTATTTGTGCTACATCTGTGGAACCTCCTAGATTCAGCTTCTTCTGGTGAACGTCTCCTGTTGAATGGGATAGCATTGTTTGTTTCTTGTCAGTCCCTAATCTGCCACAGAAATGACCCTTCTACTTGTGATCAATCAAATGTTGGTGCATCTCAGCCAAACGATTAACATGAAACATTTTCCTATTCAAATCAAACCATGTATGGTGAACTAAAGAAACGTGTATTGTCTTGAAGACTTAAGGGAAACAATAACACATAAAGGAAGAAAACAGTAAGGACAGCAGAACTCTGACGAAGATTATGTAAAGAAACTATTAAAGGAACCAGTTTTGTGACCTGCCACCTATAATGAATGTTAGGTTATCACACTCGCACGCCCTTTATTCATACGTGTCATCCACACCCTGCTGTGCCCAGCCTGTTCATATCGACACATTGTTAGGAAAAATGTGACAGCTGTGCCATAAGCAGCAGATTAATGTGGATTATGTAACACTGAGGTTAAAAGGTATTCAGATAAATCTATTGCATTTTATAAAAATGATTTCAGCAATATAAATACATGAAAATAAACATTTGTTTCAAATTGTGGTATGTATGAATCTTATGAGGGTGAAGGTGAGTGTGTCACTTTAAGAAATTTGTAGTCTTTTCATTAGTTAAACTTTTCCAAAGTGGGATAAAGGAAGTCATCAGTCATATTACAAAAACAGACAAACAGACAAAACTAGACAGAAACTTCTTCAACGTCTTCAGTTAATCCAAAATGCTGCTGCCAGAGTCTTAAACTGGAGTTAGTAGGAGAGATCATATCTCTCCAGTTTTAGCTTCTCTCCACTGGCTCCCTGTCAAGTCCAGAATTGAATTCAAAATCTAACTTCTAACATACAAAGCCCTCAACAGCCTAGTTCCATCTTATATTTGAGATCTTATTGTTCCATATTTTCCTAATAGAACACTTCACACTCAGACTGCAGGCTTACGTGTGGTTCCTAGACTTTCCAAAAGCAGAATGGGAGGAATATCTTACAGTTATCAGGCTCTCCTGTGGAACCAACTTCCAGTTTTTTGTCCGTAAGGCTGACACATTAGCTATGTTTACATGCCAAAATTCTTTGATCGGCTTGAAATGCATTCGGACTAAATAATCCAAATGTATCGTTGGCACAATCCGTTCACAATGAGCGTTTACATTCAGCAGGCTTTTATACAAAATAGAAGTACTGACATGTGCAGAGTGGTAAACTTTCCTTAAAAAAACACAGAAGAAGAAGTTCTACTTCAGGGATGAATGTAAACAAACCTGAGCACCCAAAATGAACCCACTCCAGCTTTTAAAGACGGTGGAGACATTCCTGCACGCCCTGATTGAGCTACAGGAAATACAGATTATTTTGAGCTCTTTCAAAGTGTCTAGTAGAAATATTGTATTGCTCACTGACCAATTTTGCTTCCGCGACATGCTAATATTGTTAGCGTCTAGCCAGGCTTTAGGCTGTTAGGCATCTAGCCAGGCTAGCCTCGGAATAAGACGATCAGATGAAGTGTTTACATGCACACCGTTCGGGTTATGAGAAGGCATAAACCACCCCTCTCATTCAGAATACAAATTCATTTGGATCAAGCTGAATCAGCTCAGAATAATCAGAATGGAGCATTTACTTGATGCATTTTTGATGCATTGAATTAAACTTTATATTTATTATTAATGTCCTCATAGAGGAAATTACCTGCATTTAAGTGCAGTTTTATCAAAACAAATAAACAAAAGATGGACCATAGTTATATTCTTGACGAGATGAACTCTAAGGTTAGAACTGACGTAAATGACCTCCTGAAAAAAACAAATAAACAAACAAACAGTTATTTCTGCACACTGACTCTATGTACTGAAAGGTTTTGATACCACGTGTGATACTTATTACAGTAATACCCCTCTGTGATCATCTGTAACTTACAGAAATACTTCTTTGATTATTGTAAGAGACATTTAACTACAGTCAAGGACTCCTTTAAGTCACGTGTTTACTGATTATTTGTAAAGATAAATTGTTAGAAAACAAAGAAAATGTCAATCAATAAGAATACTCTTTGCATCATGCTTCTTTATTGTGCATTTCAATATTAGCTAGTCCAGAGTTATAAAGCCAATACTGATCTAAATATACAAACAGGAAATACAACTACTGATGACAAAACTGAAGTTGACTGATTTTATATTTCCCAACTATCTTCTAGTTTAATAATGCAGCTTAGGTTTAATAAAAATAAAAAAAAATAGACTAATACAAAACAATTTGATTATGAAAAGTTGTTTTAAAAATTGTTTGTGTATAATTTCAGAGTTCAACCTCATAGTGAATATTAAATTCAACAGAGTGGAATTAATTTAATTCAAAAGAATTGATACAGTATATGCGGACTAAGTTTAGTATATCTCCGTTAAACATCTAAACAACCCAACCCACTTCCCTTCATACTTCTTTTTTTTTTTCTGATGACATCATGTTTGTTTTTTTATCGTTATTATTTTCCTCTTGGCATTAAAACCTTTAAGGCACATCTGATCCACAAACTTTCATCTTTATGAAATAGCCTCAAGTACAGAGTTAAAACTTTGCCAACAACAATAGATACCCTCTGCTTTCACTGCTGTTTTTCATTGTACCCCCCCCCCCCCCACCACCACCACCACCACCACCACACACACAGATGATAAAATGCCAGTGTGCTCACACAAAAATGCAATCCCATCCAACTTTGTGCAGATGATTGCAGACCCTCAGGACCTGTACAGGGGGGTAACGGTACCATCCTTCCACTCAATTAGGATCTCTGCTCGCTGTAAGGTGGGGCTGGAGTGAGGGAACTGCATGGCATGCTGGGTCAGCGGGACTCTTTCACCGGGCACAGGTGATCCAGGAACACTCATCTCTGGGCTCGGAGTGTACGACTTCAAAACACAAACCACTTTCTTCCTTCTAGTAAAAATAAAATGTAGAAGAAAGACAAAAAGGATAAAGAAGCAAAAAAATAAAATTGTTTGATTAAAAAATAAAATAAAATCTCCAAACATGTTGAATGATTTGAATGTTGCACCAGATACATAATTAATTTTCTATATCCACACGGTTATTTTATAATTTTAACATCACCATTCTTTATTTGTGAATATGGAAAACACACTGTAGCCCCTAAGTGAAGTCTGAGGGTTGATGCCTGCTTCAAAAAAGATTAAGATAAAATCCTATTGAAACAACTTTATTGCTGAAGTCTCCTCAAGTGGATGTAAAAACAAGTGTATGTGTTTTCATACGTACTTTTTTTTGTTTTCTGATCGAAACAGAAACCTGACTGGACACCAATTTATGGGAAACTTTTAAGCGTGGAGATCAAACAGCAGTGTTGAGAAGTCATAAATAATTTTTACAGTTGAGACGCTTTCTAGGCTAGAGTTTAGAATTAGATTATAGATAGGCTTAGAGGAAAAGTTAGGATTAGCTGTGATAAATACAAGTTATGACATAAGTCTTGGGTGTGTATGTGTGTGTGTGTATGTGTGTGTATCGTAGTCCTTACCTATTAGAGTACACACTGATGATAAGAATAGCAGTCCCTAGGACCAGAGCCAAAGAACTCAACACCAGCATGGTTATCTTCCATCCCATTCCTGTTCACAATTACACATCACAAGATCAGAAACCACAAAGTGTATTATTCATTTCATCATCACCAACTCACATTTGTTTCTATAAATTAGTTAATTTAAAACTAAGTGCATAACTCTTAGACTTTCCTTACAAATATCACACTGCCTGTGCGCCACAACCTTTGCCAACTATTTTCCATACACTTAGGTCCACCTAGTGTTAGAAAAGTTTCATTACATTTATATACAATTTTTTTTTTTTTTTTGCCTTTTGGATTCAATCAAGTATTTCCAGTAATAAAATTAGTAATATGTTTGATCTTGTATTGATTTTATTTTTTATGAACTTACCATAGTCTATGTTGAAAAACACCATGGTGGGATCTGCAGGGGATTTGGTGCTGAAAGAGTCTGGATTCATCCCATCTTTTAAAGAAAATACTTCTGCACCAACAGAGCCCATAACACTTTCAACTGGATGAGAAGAAATCAGAAGTGTCATTTAGAGCCGAGGATTTAAATAAAGCATTTTAGCCTCTTCAGATTTTAAAACGGAGAAGAAACTGTGTTGGCTTTTGATTGAATATGCTGATTTGTTTCTTCCTTTGAGTTCTCCATTTTGATTTAAACAGTTCTTTCTTTGTGTGTCTAGTAGACATTTTGCTTGTAATGTTCCCCTTCTTTAATTGTATCATTGTGTTCACCTGTGTCTTGTTAGTCTTGTCTATAAAGTCTTTTCTGCACACCTGTTGCATGCTCGTTTCACAAGAAGAAGCAGAAGCTAGTGTGCCGTTCGTTTTTCTATTTTTTGTGCTTTGGATTCACAAATTCTGAACCGTTTTAAATGGAAGTCAAAACTCCCAGACTCCTTTCTGCTTCAACAGATTGCCTGCTGTGTGAGTTGAATTTAGGTGCAGAGATTTCACCTCTTCAGAACACATTGTTCACTTTTCAGATCTGTTCATGCAGAACCATTTATTCTAAAAACAACAAATTAGTTTGCTGAGACATGACGCTGCTTCGTGGAGTGGCTTCCTGTCTTCTGAGATTGAGGAAAATGAGCACTTACCTCAATTGGATTCTTGTGCTAAAAGCAGGCCTGTGGTCAAATCATCTGAAAGCCCCTAACCAAAAGCACTAAATGAACACAATGGTTGTTTTGGTTGTGTTCAAGCAACTACAGCCTGCTTGAATTTCATTTTATTATTAGTTGCATTATGTTGAAAGTTCATCAAAATGAATATAACTTAAATCTTAAGACCTTTTGCTTGTACTTCAATAATAAAAATAAAAAAATCTAATAGTTTATAAAAAAAAAAAAAAAAAGCAACCCATAAAATTAAAAAGAATCCTAATTTTTTGGGGGGGATGATTAATATAGTTTGTCTGAAAATGGTTTGGCAAAATATAAATTTTAGCATTGATTAATGCAAATTATTTGGCACCTCCAGAACACCCACCAACAATTTACCGTAACAATGAAGAAAAAGCAAATGTTATTTTCTAAGAATTCACTGCAATCAAACAATGCATCCCATCCATTCATTTGTGAAAATGGTTCCCATTAAAACCTTTTGGTACTTTTCCAAACTGTAGGAAAACATTTGTAATATCTTCAGTTCTTACATATTTCAGTCAGAGTGTTTAGATCAGAGATATGATCAGCAGACATCTTCTGTTCCATTTCCTCCTGCTGGTGATGAAGCTGATTTTGGTTTTCTTTGTAGTCTCTATCATTGCACAACGTCTGGTTATCAAGTGTCCGCCACCTGCCGCCCTGCTTGCAAAGAGGAGAAACCACAAGATCATCTGATCTGTTTGAAATGCTTAAGATGAACATTAATCAGGTAAACTATAGTGCATGTCCCCCGATTTGAGTGTGTATACAATCCAAATATTTCAAGGCACATGTCAGATATTAAGCAACACAGTGAGATGTCCTTCTTTTCTAAAATATTACCTGTCTGTGTTCCTTCAACAGAAAAACCAAAGAGGATTCTTTGGCAGCACTAAGGTGCAGCCCACTCCCCATCAAAGTGATGTGGCCTTTCTTTGAGCAGGCCCATTCCTGACTGCTTGCCTCTCCTCCCACATCCACAGCAGCTACTCCAGCTCTGCAGGCACAGGGCCGAAGGAGGACACCTTCATATTCCTGATTCGGTGCAGTCAGACACTCTCCAGTGTGCTGACTCCTAAGAGCCTGGCCCTCTGGCAACCAGCGCCACTCTTGTACAAGTGAGCTAGAGCTGCATTCTCCTAACGACACTCTTCCCCTTGTAGTTCCTTCTTCCACCTGCAGGCATTTACCCAGCAGCTTGTTCCGAATCTTGAACCCAGACACATCTGTGAAAACAGCAGATGGCAGACGTAACTACTCAAAAATATCTGGTTGAATCAGATCTCAAACACCACAAGCAGAAACATTGTGAAGAAATGATGGAAGTTTCAGGAGATTTTGTATCCTCCAAAAGAGTTGTTAATCAGAAAGGATCACTCCAAGAGCAAGGTGTGTAATATTCATAAATAAACTCTGGGTCACTTGGAAGTAAAGGTGTTTAAATGTCATGGTCTACTCTGGATGTTTTTGGGTGCATCTTTAAATAGAAGCTGACCAGCATCCTTGCACTGCTGTCTGTCTTGTGTTTGTTAAAATCTATTAAAATGGAAAAATCATGACAATTTTGGTTGCATATAAAGGGATGTTTGAATAAAATCCATCCACCCATTTTCTTCCACTTATCTGGGTGAGAAGCTCGGTCATCTGGGAGGGACTCAGAGTAGAGCCGCTGCTCCTCCACGTTGAGAGGAGCTTGAGGTGGATCAGGCATCTGGTTAGGATGCCTCATGGACGCCTCCCTGGTGAGGTGTTCCAGACACGTCCCACTGGGAGGAGGCCCAGAGGAAGACCCAGGTCACGCTGGAGGGATTGTATGTTTCTTGGCTGGCAAGGGGATGCCTTGAGATTCCCCTGGAGGAGCTGGCCCAAATAGCAAGGGAAGTCTGGGGCACCCTACTTGGGCTGCTACCCCTATCTCTAAGGGAGAACCCAGACACCCTGTGGAGAAAACTCATTTCGGCCGCTTGTATCCGTGATGTCATTCTTTCGGTCACAACCCAAAGCTCATGATGAAAGTTATGATTGTTTATCTACGTAGGAACATGGATCATCCGGTAAAGTGAGAGCTTCGCCTTTTGACTCAGCTCTCTCTTCACCACAACAGACCAGTACAGCAACCGCTAGATTGCTAGGCGGACATGTGAGGCATCTGCAGTTTGAATAAAATAAAACGGGTTAATCAAACAAATTCCACATATGTACCTAAAGTAGTGTTAAATTGGTAATATTTGGTTACATGTTCTATTTGCTGCATCTGGCTAAAATAGCTGTCAGTTAACAATGGAACGATGTTCAGGGAGTCTCTGTCTGAAGAACTTCGTGCTTGGTATCTTATTCATAAATGATCACAGCAGCTTCAGAGCTGGACCTGTGCTGGTGATAAAGGAACTTTTCCTAAACTTGGAGTATCGTTATGCTTCTCATAGGCCGGGCGTCTGATCAACATGCTTCCTGATGGTCTCTTTTTTTATTTTTATTTTTAGATTTTTCAGTCAAAACCACAAAGCTGACCCAGAACTCAGTGTATAGACTATACGGTAACTCTTTACAATAAGGTACACACAATTTCATTAACTACTAGGGAATGCCTCAGGAACAAATCAGGAGCTAATGCGTAGTTAACCAGTACTTACTGGGGAACACACAGCCAAGCCTTATTAGGGTATTACTGGTTTGTTACCACAGAAACAGAGGAGAAATTCTCCATGTGCGTTCTGAATAAACCCTGCACCAGTGAGGTCACAGCTCGTAACTGTCAAAAACCTGTTTCCCAGTGATTACTGGCTTTATTGGATTTTCTCTTTTGTAAACATATTGATGAAAGACTATCAATTTTGTAATCTTGCACTTTTGTCATCTTTACCTGTATGTCTGACTGTCACTTACAGAGTACCAAATCATTGCCTGGCTATTATTTTGTTAACTGATGTAGTCAAGCATCATACCAAGTACAATACTTGGTGAGGAACCGATCACCTGACCATTACCTGCTGGTTTGTTCCTGTGGTAACAAACCAGTAACCCCCCTCATAATGCTTGGCTGTGTATTCCCCATTAAGTGCTGGTTGACTACTCATTAGCTCCTGATTTGTTTCTGATTCATTCCTGAGGCGTTCCCTCATAGTTAATCAAATTTTGTGTACCTTACTGTAAAGTGTTACCGACTACATTCCTTCTGACCTGGCAATACCTCTGAATCCAATGGAAGGGGCTAACAAGTTCTACTGGAGAGAGACAGATGTCTAGTTCTGAAAGGCATTGCTCTTTGTTATAAACACTCGAGATTATGCCACAATTATGTGGTATATCAAACAGAAGGGCAAGACAAGATTTCAGTTGTTTTTATTTTTCACTTTTAGGATACAAGCTGACCTGCAGCACACTAATAAATGTACATTTGAGATGTTTAAATAATAAAAAAAAACTATAATAATAAAATTAAAATGATACATTACACCAGTGTTTAGTAGTTTTTATAAAATTGTATGAGCACAATACATTTTTAATTAATTTAAATGAGTTTTAAGTAAACATTTGTAGTTGTCTTTATTCATACAGAAATCGTATGTCATTTTATTTAAAAAAAATGACAATCTTAAAGTCAGTCTCTAAGCAAAACTTTTTATAAGCATGAACATTGAACATTGGCTAACATTCAAAACTCAACTTTAATAGGCTGTCCTGGCTAGATTATACCTCCTAGTACTTTTAAAACTTTCCATTGCTGGATTTTGGGTTTTCGATTCAATAAAAAAATATACATGAGCAATATTCTATAATAATAATAATAATAATATTATATAAACTTTAAAATTAACTATATTACACCACATTTTCCTTTAACTTGATTCAGTTTTCCCCCCAAATCTGTGTGAAAAACAATGTTAAATTGTTCACTTAAATATTTTGCATAAACTCATGGAATTTGTGCAAACGACCAACAACAACAAATTTTACCTTTGGAAACCAGAGAGACGAGGAAACAGACCAACAGCAGGTTTCGTCTTCGTCCCATGGCGACTGCAGCCTCTCTCCTGAGACTGGTTGCATCTATTTTAGCAGAACCAGCAACAAATGGGAGGAACAAAAGCTCCGCACAGACAGCGAGTGGTCTGTGTTCATCACATGGAGGGACAGAAGAAACACAAAGGTCTCTAAAAGGGGGCATGGTTTTTAAAACGGGAAAATTTACAGTAAAAATAATAAATATTAACCTGGGTATCTGTAATAATTTAAATGAACATGACAAATATGATATGACCAAATTACTCCTCATGTTTGCAATTCCACAAAATTTTCCCCAATTTCTTCAGGATTAATGTAAACTATGGAAAAAAAAATATTTTTTTAAATGAACATGTGCATTCATATTTTTCATTTTGCTTTAAAGCCTCAACCACTACCTTCAGAAAACAGTTCAATGAGATCCACCAGTGACAACGACTTCAGCTCATTTACATTTCAAGAGACAGCAGGAAGCCCAGAGAACTTTCCTCCCAGTATATTAAAGTCGGTTTATAAAAAAATAACCCAAACACCAAACATCCCATGAAACTTGATTAAATCCAGTTGCCCAGCTCAATCAAAGTTATCTTTTATTTTTCTTTGCTGTATCTTTGTCTTTGGGAGATTTACTTATAATATATGGAGAATGGCCCTAAACCTCTCCTGAAGCAACACCAAGTGGTTCTGTAGAACGAGTCAAATGTCCTGGCCCAGTCTCAGCTCAGTCAGAATCTCTGGTACGATTAATAGATTGATGTACTGTACACTAGTGGCACCCATTGAGCTGCTGGAACAGTTTTGTTACGAATAATGGGCAAAAATTCCAGTGACTAGATGTATCGAACTCAAGAACAAATGCCCAAGCACACATAACTTGTCAGTTTAATTATATTTATATATAAACTTCATTCGTATAATAAAATTGAAAATACATTTAAGTTCAAGATTGTAGTAAAAAAAAAAAAAAAAAAAAACAGAAAAAAATTCCTGTGGGGTTGAGAATCTTGCAAACCATTATACTCAGATGATTTGTTTGCTTTTGCCTTTCTGACCATGAAGATGTGATGAAGATGTAATGAAGATGATTGGAAGCAAAGGACCCAAGCACGGACTTAAACATACAGGTTAAGATGAGGTCTAAACTTTAACAGACATAATGATTTAAAAAAAAAAGAAAAACACAGACTAAAATCTATATTGCTAAACCAAATAAACAGAAAAAGAAAAGAGGAAAATAAATCTAAATTCTATATACAGCAAGAAAATGTATAGCTAGATCACAGAACATGCAGTTTAATAGAAAAGTAAAATATTTAAATCCAAAATTAGCATCAAACTACAAAAGTCATGAAAATCAAAATAAAGAAATAAAATCCCAAACCATGACTTGAAAAGTCTGTTTTTCTCTCCTTGCAACTGGACAGTAGACACAACTCTTACACCCTTCTTGTTTACCACTTTGCCAGGCAAGAGCAAGAATTTACAAGCAGTGTGCAGAAACTCATGGACTACTAATGAGTTTTAAAGAGCATAAATCTGTTATGGGAAGAAACCAGTGCTGCCAGTTGAATAGGATGGGTCACTTGTCGCTGTGAGGAACCAGACAGCTTTTGTGAATCTGTACAATAACAATCAGCGTCAGCCCAGTAGGACTTCCTGCTGATTCCCCCATCAGCCATGGTGTTACATGGTTAAAAAAAAAAATTACAGCTAAATATTTTAGAAAACTGAATATTTGATCATACAGCAACAAGATAAGATTTCCATGAATCGACAATAAACACAATAAAATTGAAAGATGTGCTTTTATTGTTTGACAAAGGCCAAGACAAATGTCCTGTTTGTTACCATGGAGGGGTGGGACACATTCTGGCATCAACTTCAGGGTTTGTTCAGAGGTTTTCTCATTATTTACAGTTTAGGACTTGTGGTTTTCTCTGAAGTAACCCCAGAAGGTAGAGTGCTCTTGTCATCTCCTACTCAGTCCCATGTCAAATTGTCTTTGTCCCTCTGTGTACAATGTGTTATTTAACTTGTCCTGTCTCTGACCTAAAGCACTGCACAAATGTCAAATTTGACATGAGTGAAAACCAATCTCTTCACTCACGGTTCAACCATGTTTAAAAAAAAAAAAAAAAAAGCTTATAGTTTTGCCACAGTAACTGCTTAATCCTTATATCTATTTGAATTTTGTCATTTTATTTACCTATTCAATGGAAAAAAAAATATCTTAAATGTGGAAAAATCTCACCTTCTGATTGGCTAAGTCTGTTTTACTTGTTTATTCTTGACCTTGTCTAAAAATATTAGCGGGAAGTTGAAAAATCTGAGAATTTCCGTGGCAACGATATTACAATTGGGTATTTTGTAGCCTTTGTAGATGATACTCATTGTTACCTTCCCGAGTCAGATCTAGCCCTGGGAATTAACCGGCACCTGAGCCTGTAGGTGCAAGATGTTGGTCGGCAGGGGCAAGGAAGTTACTGTAACCTGAGGCCCCCGAAAGCACAAGATGGGCAAGGCTCCACCTCCTCACAAGGATGAGATGCACTAGAAGGAATGACGATCAGGGGAAACACTACCTCTGGGTCAAAGGCGAAGCTAATGTCCAAATACACCTGAAAACAAAATCATTCAAATGTTAACTCAGTCCACAATCTGTCATGCAAAACTTTCAGTTAAATGATAAATATGCTTTGGATGGTATGACCTATAAACAAAAACACCACATTTTCACAATATTACAAACATGCATCACACAAACTGGTTGCTTTTTTTATTAAACAGGATGACAACTACTTTTTATTTAAACGCATATTGTTATACTAGTGATGAAATTTTTGTGATATGTGACTTATCTGTGCTGCTGATTATTCATGCTGCTGATCTCATGCTGTTGTATTCATTAATGCCTATCTACTCACTACAGACTCATGCTCGGGCTGCTGTTTAATATATTGTATTATTTTACATTATTAGTATTTAGTGTATATCTTAGATCTTTTAGCATATTTTTTAGCATTTGTTTAGTGTATACTGTAGTGTATATGTTAGATCCTTATATGCTGTTGCTATTTTTGGGTGTAACTGGAACCCTAAGTACACAATTTCGTTCCACCTCATGTACCACATGTGATGTGAATGATAATAAAGAAACTTGAACTTGGACTTGAAAACATACAAGTATATATATATATATATATATATATATATATATATATATATATATATATATATATATATATATATATACACACACACACACATATATATATATATACAAGTATAGTTTTTTTTCAATGTGCACCTACAAGTAGACCAAGGGAACAAGTGAATGTATTGATTGTATTGATAGATGGATGGATTTCTTTATGGTCATTGTGTAGGAGAACTGTATTACAGGTGCCACACCCATTAGTGTTTCAAAAATAACAACCGTATCAAATATGTCTACCACTGAGCCCACAGACATAATTTAAATGTCAGCTAAAGATGAAGGTTGAAATTGTAGTCACAAATATTAAGAATAAATGCTCCGTTACCATGAAACTACTTTGTAGATTTTTTTTTATTATTATTTCCTGGCAAATTCATATTAAACATCCGCTACAATAAGACATTCATCTCTGTCAACTCAGCCCTGTCTGTGGTTTCTTAGTTCTTCCTTATGCACTGCCTGTTGCTTTGTACGGTTGACCCAATTAACAAAACATGTCCACCTTTGACGCCTCTATTTTTCTTGTAGCTTCACTTTTACTTGTCTCCTCATTGGCTTTCTTCTACAGACTGTCATTCCTTATCTTTCCAGAGTATATGTCCACCTCTCTAAACTCTTTTCCACGTGCTCTCTACTCTCGCTACAAATCACTTTGACATCTGCAAATATCAAAGTTCATGTAGACACCTGCCAGCCCTCGGCTGTGAACCTGTCCAACCTCATTGCTCTTTTCTAAACATTATTAATGTTTGTGTTTAGTGATACCTAAATTCTGCAGCCTGCTTCGTCACCAGAAAACAAAAGCATGACCTCATACTGGATTCACTTCACTGGCTTCCAGTGCAGTCTGATTGATTTTCAAATCTTATTTGTTTTACGTTATTTTAAACAGTTCATATCAAAACTTCTGAACAATCTTCTGCACTTTTATTTTCCAGATAGGATGGTTAGGTCAGCAAACCAGCTCTTGCTAAAACATGGCAAATTAAATCATCTTCAACTCTCAACACATTTAAATTTTCTTTACAACACACTCTTTTTTCCCTTTGGCTTTTAATTCATATTGAGTGGGACTCATTCACTGTACCGCTACTGCATTGTATTTAATTAATTATTCTTAAGGTCAGTTTGACAATTTCTTAGTTTGCGCAGCATTATCATTTTAAATAGTACTTCTGATTTCGGTTCTTCCCTTTTCAGGGGTCACCACAACGAGTCATCCTCCTCAATCTCACTCTGTCCTCTGCATCCTCTGTCCTCACTCCAACTACCTCCATGTCCTCTCTAACTGCATCCATACAGGTCCTTCTCAAAAAATTAGCATATTGTGATAAAGGTCATTATATTCCATAATGTAATGAAAAAAATGAAACTTTCATAGATTTCAGATTCATTGCACACCAACTGAAATATTTCAGGTCTTTAATTGTTTTACTATTGATGATTATGTCATACAGCTCATGAAAACCCAAAATGCCTGTCCCAAAAAATTAGCATATCATGAAAAGGTTCTCTAAACAAGCTATTAACCTAACCATCTGAATCAACGACGTAACTCTAAACACCTGCAAAAGATTCCTGAGGCTTTTAAAAACTCCCAGCCTTGTTCATTACTCAAAACCGCAATCATGGGTAAGACTGCTGACCTGACTGCTGTCCAGAAGGCCATCATTGACACCCTCAAGCAAGAGGGTACGACACAGAAAGAAATTGCTGAATGAATAGGCTGTTCCCAGAGTGCTGTATCAAGGCACCTCAGTGGGAAGTCTGTGGGAAGGGAAAAGTGTGGCAGAAAACGCTGCACAATGAGAAGAGGTGACCGGACCCTGAGGATGATTGTGGAGAAGGGCCGATTCCAGACCTTGGGGGACCTGCGGAAGCAGTGGACTGAGTCTGGAGTAGAAACATCCAGAGCCACCGTGCACAGGCGTGTGCAGGAAATGGGCTACAGGTGCCGCATTCCCCAGGTCAAGCCACTCTTGAACCAGAAACAGCGGAAGAAGCGCCTGACCTGGGCTACAGAGAAGCATCACTGGGCTGTTGCTCAGTGGTCCAAAGTAATTTTTTCGGATGAAAGCAAATTTTGCATGTCATTCGGAAATCAAGGTGCCAGAGTCTGGAGGAAGACTGGGGAGAAGGAAATGCCAAAATGCCAGAAGTCCAGTGTGAAGCACCCACAGTCAGTGATGGTCTGGGGTGCCATGTCAGCTGCTGGTGTTGGTCCACTGTGTTTTTTCAAGGGCAGGGTCAATGCAGCTAGCTATCAGGAGATTTTGGAGCACTTCATGCTTCCATCTGCTGAAAAGCTTTATGGAGATGAATATTTCATTTTTCAGCACGACCTGGCACCTGCTCACAGTGCCAAAACCACTGGTAAATGGTTTACTGACCATGGTATTACTGTGCTCAATTGGCCTGCCAACTCTCCTGACCTGAACCCCATAGAGAACCTGTGGGATATTGTGAAGAGAAAGTTGAGAGACGCAAGACCCAACACTCTGGATGAGCTTAAGGCCGCTATCGAAGCATCCTGGACCTCCATAACACCTCAGCAGTGCCACAGGCTGATTGCCTCCATGCCACGCCGCATTGAAGCAGTCATTCATGCAAAAGGATTCCCGACCAAGTATTGAGTGCATAACTGAACATGATTATTTGAAGGTTGGCATTGTTTGTATTAAAAACACTTGTCTTTCATTGGTGGGATGAAATATGCTATTTTTTTGGGACAGGCGTTTTGGGTTTTCATGAGCTGTATGTCATAATCATCAGTATTAAAACAATTAAAGACCTGAAATATTTCAGTTGGTGTGCAATGAATCTGAAATCTATGAAAGTTTCATTTTTATCATTACATTATGGAAAATAATGACTTTTATCACAATATGCTAATTTTTTTAGAAGGACCTGTATTTGTCCTCTGTCATTTCTTCCTGGTAGCTGCATTTCTAACATCCTTCTACCAATAAACCCACTGTCCCTCCTCTGAACATGTCCAAACCATCTCAGTCTGGCCTCTTTAACTTTATCTCCCAGTTGTTCAACCTGTGCTGTCCCTCTGATGATCTCATTCCCAATCTTATCCATCCTTGTCACTACTAAGGAGAACCTCAGCATCTTCATTTCTGCCACTTCCAGTTCTTTTTCCAGTCTTTTTGCCAGTACCACTGTCCCCAAACCTTACAACAAAGTTGGTCCCACTACAGTCTTGGAAACATTTCCTTTGACCTTTGCTGACACCCTTTTGTCACAGATCACTCCTGGAACTTTTCTCCATCCACTGCATCCTGCCTGGACTCTCTTTTTCACCTCTTTACCACACTCCCCATTTTCCTGGACAGTGGACCCCAAGTACTTGAAGTCCTGCACCTTTGTGACCTCTGCTCCTTGTAGCCTCACGGTTTTATCGGCCTCCCTCTCATTCACACACGTACTCTCTCGTGAGTATGTTTTACATACTACTATATTTGTATATTTACTTTTCATCTGCAAAGCACATTGGTCAACTTGTGTTGTTTTAAATGAACTTCAGAAATAAAGTTTGAGTTGACACAAAAAGAAAGAGCAGCGGAAATTGTGGGCGAGAGCTGCACTAGTTTGTGCTACAAACAACTTGAGAAAACTCTGGGAACTTGATAGAAAAGACCTCAAACCACAGTGAGGTAGGATGGAAATTTTTAGCGGTTTTAACACCTTGTTGTTTTGACACTGGTGTACTCAAACTAGAATCAGACACATAAATGACATCCACTTGCTCTACTTTTGTAAGTTGGGATTTTTTTGCAAAGATTATACTGACAGGGAACTTGTTTTTATTTTAAGTCAATTAAAAAAACTTTTTCTGTATGGTTTAACTATCATTAATGGCAACCAAAATATTTTGCTTTTATTAATGTAACATAACTTTAATTACTTACTTTAAAGTAGTATTCAACTGAGATAATATCACAGTTATTAATGGTGTAGATGGTAGAAGTAGGAATCTCCATCTTGCAGGATGCTGTTACTTCAGTGTTTGGTTCAATGGTGTCCCCAACACTTTTGAACAAAGTTTTCAGTTTGGTTTTGGTGGATTTTTTAACATGGTACTCGATTTTCTGCTGCAAAGTGAACTTGGGTCTCATTGATTTGGACGAGGAGTTGCAGATTTTGGCAAAAGCAGACAAAGTGTCACCTGAGGAAAAAAGAAGAAACATCTGTATACTGATGGTTAGGTCACCTCAAATTAATGATTGCACTTTTAAAAAACACATAAAAACAAACTCATCACTTTTTTTTTTTTTTTTATCTAGCTTTTGAGTTAAAATAGGAACATATTACCTGGGGAGCAAACCTTTCTGTTAACAGATGCAGACATCTGGACCTCTCCTTTGGAAACCTTTTTAGTTACTGATCCAGACTGAGGACACTAACATAATAAAAACAAATGTTTTTAATATTTCCCCATCCCTTTGTAAAAGTATGACATTTAGAAAGCTTTATAGAGTTACTTACCATTATCCGACTGATGTTTAGAATGGATCTTGAAACAAAATCGATTTCTTTTTGCACGGATGATGACCAGTGCCATTTCCTTGTTATCTTGGCTTTAAGCATGTAGACGATACTTTGGCTGTTTTCTTTAAAGGATGATGGCATACTCCTTTAAAACAAACAAAAAAAGGGATTCAGTTATGAACTGTTTTGTAAAAGATAAATAATACACAGCAAATAGCAAAAGATAGAGATGAGTTGATGATCACTTACTCCTGTGGAAGTGAAAAACTGAACCTAAAGAAATAAATTCCTTTGGGGAAGAGTCTGCCTGCAAAAATAATTAATATACATGTTACCAAACTAAAAGAAATGCATATACGAAAAAAAAAAAAACTCTTTGAATTATATATAATTTAAGACTTTTGTCATTTTCAAAATTAAAAACAACTATCTAAAATTATTTCTTATTTAAATTTTCAAAATAAATTCACATGTTTATAATAAATTTTCTGTTTTTAAAAAACCCAATGATTGATACATTACACATAACTTAGAATGTTTAGACTTACTACCAATGTAATCTGTAACCTCGAAAACATCATTTGACTGTAAGTGTAGCCACATGAGCCACTCTGAAAAAGTTTTAACATTTCTATGCATGTGACATTTGGAAACAGTCTTATTTAATGTCTTCTGGCTTACCTTTGGGGTTTTTGGCCACCAAGTACTCTTTATCTTTAAAGTATCCCCTGTATCCATGGTAGTGGGTATTACCTTGTTTCCACTTAACATCTGCTTTCCCTTTAGCTTGTAAGGAAACACTCTTAACTTTGGTGTCTTTCGTGAGAGTAAAAGACACTGTGCCTGTGACTGTATCTCCCTCAGAGAAAGGCTCATCTTTCTCACATGTAAGTGTCAAGTTTTCTATTGGAGACATTTCACACTTGGTGTTTGACCTCAAATCAGTTTGTGCACCCTGATCACAACTTTTTATAGCTGCATCCAGCTCCACCCCAAAGTGAACCGCATAAAACTCCAGTACTTCTCTATTTGCTGCTGTTCGGCGTTTTGTTTTTGTACTACTAGCGCTTAGTGTATTTTTAATTAACGTTTTTCTTAGTTCATATCTTAGATCTTATTACTGTTTTTCTTTTACATTTTGTACTTTTGTTGGATGTAACGGAGACCCTGTAATTTCGTTCCACCACATGTATGACAAATAAAGAACTTTGAATCTTTGAAAAAAGTTGAAACATGAAACATAACTGTCAATGCAAACTAGCCATACGACGACACAAAACAATACAGAACGCAGACTCATTTAATTATTCTGCTCCAAGAGATAGATTTTAGTTCATAGCAGAGAGTAAATACTCATGTCATAAATACTTGCTTTACCATAGGAATCAGCTTGCCGGTAATCAGAATAAGTTTTGCTACTTTGAATACATATGCTGGTGAAGATTCTCAGTCATCCAGGACATGATGAATTCAAAAAGCGTTCAGTACAAAAACAACTGGACTTTATTTGTAACAGAAGACGTTTCGCTCCTCATCCGAGGAGCTTTCTCAATTCAAAGAGCAGAGAGTGAGGGATACAGGTTATAAGGCTGAGTGAGATAAGACACACACACACATAGGACACACACACACATATATGTATATTGGCAGTTCACACCTAAAACCTAAAACAGTAGGTCTTTGTTCCTCTAATTCACAGACGAGGCCCCTCTGTTCCCATCAGGTGTGAAAACCGGCTGGGAATCTGTTTTAAAGTTGCATTATATGTTTTTGAAAGTGGGAATCTGAGGCCTCCTCCTCTGTTAAGAGATGGTTTTTCTCTTTTTACATAAATTGCTTCCTTCACCCCCCTCTCAAACCATCTGTGTTCTCGGTCCAAAATGTGCACATTTTGGTCCTCAAAAGAGTGTCCCTTATCTGTGAGGTGGAGGTGAACAGCTGAGTCTTGTCCTGTGGAGCTGGCTCTCCTGTGTTGAGTCATGCGTCTGTGAAGAGGCTGTTTAGTTTCTCCAATGTAGAGGTCTGGACAGTCCTCGCTGCACTGGACCGCATACACTACACCACTCTGTTTGTGTATGGGTGTCTTGTCCTTAGGGTGGACCAGCCTCTGTCTGAGAGTCCTGCTGGGTTTGAAATGTACTGGGATGTTGTGTTTGTTGAAGATCCTTCTGAATTTCTCTGATACTCCAGCAACATAAGGGATGACAATGTTTTTACGTCTGTTGTTCTCCTTTTTCAGTTTATTGGTGTGTTTTGTAGATTTCCTCGCTGACTTGACAAAAGCCCAGTTAGGATATCCACATGTTAGAAGAGCTTCTTGAACGTGTTTCAGTTCCTTTTCCTTCCCTTCTGTCCTTGTGGGGACGCATTCGGCCCGATGTTGTAAAGTTCTGATGACAGAGAGTTTGTGTTCCAGTGGATGGTGGGAGTCAAACAGAAGATACTGGTCTGTGTGGGTTGGTTTCCTGTACACTTCAATGTTGAGGCTGTCCTCTCTCTCCATCTGAACCAAACAGTCCAAAAAAGGCAAGTTGTTGTCGTTTGCATCCTCTCTGGTGAACTTGATGTTGTTATCGACCGAGTTAATGTGTCTGGTGAACGCTTCTATTTCCTTGGCTTGGATTTTGACCCAGGTGTCATCCACATAACGGAACCAATGGCTTGGCTTAGTTCCCTCATAGGAGTGTAGGGCTCTCTGTTCCACTTCCTCCATGTAGAGATTGGCAACAATGGTTTACACTGGAGATCACATGGCACAGCCGTGCTTCTGTCTGTAAAAACTGTCATTGAACTTGAAATAAGTGGTGGAGAGGCATAGGTCCAACAGGGTGCAGGGTTCAAGTTCAATGACAGTTTTTACAGACAGAAGCACGGCTGTGCCATGTGATCTCCAGTGTAAACCATTGTTGCCAATCTCTACATGGAGGAAGTGGAACAGAGAGCCCTACACTCCTATGAGGGAACTAAGCCAAGCCATTGGTTCCGTTATGTGGATGACACCTGGGTCAAAATCCAAGCCAAGGAAATAGAAGCGTTCACCAGACACATTAACTCGGTCGATAACAACATCAAGTTCACCAGAGAGGATGCAAACGACAACAACTTGCCTTTTTTGGACTGTTTGGTTCAGATGGAGAGAGAGGACAGCCTCAACATTGAAGTGTACAGGAAACCAACCCACACAGACCAGTATCTTCTGTTTGACTCCCACCATCCACTGGAACACAAACTCTCTGTCATCAGAACTTTACAACATCGGGCCGAATGCGTCCCCACAAGGACAGAAGGGAAGGAAAAGGAACTGAAACACGTTCAAGAAGCTCTTCTAACATGTGGATATCCTAACTGGGCTTTTGTCAAGTCAGCGAGGAAATCTACAAAACACACCAATAAACTGAAAAAGGAGAACAACAGACGTAAAAACATTGTCATCCCTTATGTTGCTGGAGTATCAGAGAAATTCAGAAGGATCTTCAACAAACACAACATCCCAGTACATTTCAAACCCAGCAGGACTCTCAGACAGAGGCTGGTCCACCCTAAGGACAAGACACCCATACACAAACAGAGTGGTGTAGTGTATGCGGTCCAGTGCAGCGAGGACTGTCCAGACCTCTACATTGGAGAAACTAAACAGCCTCTTCACAGACGCATGACTCAACACAGGAGAGCCAGCTCCACAGGACAAGACTCAGCTGTTCACCTCCACCTCACAGATAAGGGACACTCTTTTGAGGACCAAAATGTGCACATTTTGGACCGAGAACACAGATGGTTTGAGAGGGGGGTGAAGGAAGCAATTTATGTAAAAAGAGAAAAACCATCTCTTAACAGAGGAGGAGGCCTCAGATTCCCACTTTCAAAAACATATAATGCAACTTTAAAACAGATTCCCAGCCGGTTTTCACACCTGATGTGAACAGAGGGGGCCTCGTCTGTGAATTAGAGGAACAAAGACCTACTGTTTTAGGTTTTAGGTGTGAACTGCCAATATACATATATGTGTGTGTGTGTGTGTGTCCTATGTGTGTGTGTGTCTTATCTCACTCAGCCTTATAACCTGTATCCCTCACTCTCTGCTCTTTGAATTGAGAAAGCTCCTCGGATGAGGAGCGAAACGTCTTCTGTTACAAATAAAGTCCAGTTGTTTTTGTATTGAACGCTTTTTGAACACTTTGAATACAGTTCATACACACGCAACATAAAATCTTCACTCTAAAAGTCCAATACATGGTAAATACTTTGAAGTTCACATGCACATGTTTCATACAAGAAGATCGGGGGTTGAAACCTCATTAACTTTGATTCTGTAATGATTCTGTAATGAAAAAGAGACGGTAACAGCACAGTGTTGGCTCGACTGTTGGCCTGGACTAAAAGATCCAGATCAACATCTGCACCAGATGTTGGGGATCCAGGACATTTGATGAGGACTGACTGAGGTTAGGGTGAAGAAAACCAGCCAATATCATAAACTAACCAGAACATATGATGTAGAGAAAATGATTTGTTTTGAGACAAAATCTTAATTAAGCAGAAAGCATCAGGTCAAAACTCGTGGAAACTGAGAGGCGTGTGGTAGAAGTCGAACAGTGATTGCGCAATTTGCGCATATCATGCTTTGGGGAGCGTTGGTGGTGTTCGTTTAGTTTCCTGCTTGGCTTCCTTCATTTGTTTCGGTATGTTTCCAACTTGTGTGGGGGCTTTTACTACATTTTTTGTTTTGTCAGTGATGCTTTTATTTCTCAGGTTTATATGAATTTTTTGCTGGTTTCATCGTATGTATTAGTGTGTTTTGTAATCTGCTTATTGCTGCCAACATGTGTATCAGTTTATTACATTCTCCCATTTCCACGGGTCATTGTGTGAATGGTTGGTTACTCCCTGCACAGATTGTAAGTCCATCACAGGTTTTTTTTACTCTCCAGTCACCTGTAAATGTCTATTTCTCATTGTCACTTGCCAGATCAACATGTTCTGTCTATAGAAGTGTGGTCTAGATGAATGGTGTTTTTGTGAAAATCTTTTGGATTGCATCAGAGCAGAGAGTATACAGTATATGGCTAATGACTTGTAAAAGCTGCTTTAAAGAGCATAAATCTGTTACGGGAAGAATCCAGTGCTGATAGCCATTTTTACAGTGATGAACTGGTTGGCTTTTGTCTTGTATATTCACAAGCTTTCCTGCATTCTGATGCTTCACAAATAATTTCATTACACAAAGCAAACGTATAACTTCCTTATTTTACTAGGTTATCTTTCTCTTGTAGCAAATGTGATTTACAAGTCAAATACAAACTCCGACATTCATTTTCATAATCATGAACTTGGTAAAAGACATGAAACATTGTCAAACGCAGCAGACTTTTGCACTTGTAAACAAATTTGTATAAGATTTTAAGTGGCAAATGCATATAAGCTATAGACACAGACAAATCTGTTTGAAATCTGAAACACTAAGTGAAATGATTTAAGGGTGAAGAGCAGATGGTGATGAATATTGAGATCCTGGGACGTAGACTTCAGGTGGTGCTTGAGCACCTATCTGCCCTCTGGACCAGGCAAGTGTCCCCTTCAAAGTTTTTTTTTTTTTTAACAGTATACAATATGAGACCAATATGGTGGCATTTCTGGTTTACAAAGTGTACAGTATACTACCAAAGCCCCAAAATGCATGTTTTCTTTGAATGTGCTGCGTCCAAGGCAGCTTGCTGGACGCAGATGCACATCGGATCATCAATCCTCTCCTCCCCTGACTTGGAGTACCGTAGTGACAGCTAACCAGCAAGCAACAAACAAAATGAGCGCATTTTCCCTTTAAATCTTAAGACTTCTTCCTGTAAACAGCCTTTTTATCCCACCATATTTGTTTTGGTTGGATCTTTTCTTAATGTAATAAACTATTATTTGTCTGTAGAAATAATGGTGGCTACGTGGTGGAATTTTGGCCTTGACAGTCAGTCTGGCGAGCCTTAATGTTGAAATCCATTGACTCTTGATATCAAGCAGTTTTATCCAAATACACATAATTTTTCACGTTGCTGGCCTTCTAGGCATTTACAACAGGTGGCTCAGGGAAGCAGCTCTATGCTGTCCTGCAGTGACATTCAGGAGCATGTAAGATGAGGGAGACAAATCATTAGAAAACGTCACAGAGTCAGACACACATGAAGCTGACATGTCAGAGTCTAGAGGGTGGACAGCTACAGAAATGGTGCACTACGATGATCAAAATGAGGGACCGTTGACAGGATCCTCCATAGAACAAAAAAGCCATGAGAAATTGAGCATATAAAATTGTCTGATTTTTAATGGTATTTATTTTATAGACTAAAGAATGCACAAATCGTGGCATTACTATTATTTGTTCTGTTGTTGCCAGTTACAGAACCTGCTGAGCGTTGAATATTATTAAACATCGGTAGACGGCATATGGCTATTGGTTTGAAATAAAATATGCACGATGTACAAGATGTGCCTGTAATAAATCTCACTACAGCAGCCAGTGGTTCCACTCACTGCACAAAGTGCACTTTTTCTTTACTTGAACACCTGTCGCCTAAAATATCTGCTCACGCCACTGTTGAGATCCATACAAAAATGGGAACTTACGGCACTGGATTAATGCGTTACCTGTTTTTAAGTGCACTTTTACAATTAATTATCAGGCTATAAATTATCCAATTTAGAATGTGCTGATTATTTTCAGAAGCACATGTTGCTTAACTGACCTGCTGAAAAACAAGATTCCTGCTTTCAAACAAAATGAACATTCTTTGTTTAAAAAAAGTGTTATGATTTGTAATTGATATAAATTTATAGACCTGCACAATGATTGGATACATAAACACAAAACTATTTCACTTTTAATCAAAATTACAGTCATGGAATAAAAGCCCCCTCTTTCAGTTTGTGTTTTGCATTTAAGAACATATTAAAACTGATCTTGTCTTCTAGGTAAAAAAAAAATAAAATAAAAAAAAATATTTGAACCTCAACTGTAATCTCACAACAGATCCCACGTCAGGTTTATTAGATACAAAGCCACAAAAATAGACTTAATCTTGTCTCTTGTCATTTTCCCTTTATATGCAAAATATGTACAAATGTATTAATTTATTGCTAGTCCAGAAAAAAATAATTTGGAAAAGTAAAATAAAAAACAAATCAAAATAAAATGTAGAAATGCATATTAGGTTTACTTGTGTAAAACGTTTATAAATGGATTGTACTTGTATAGTGCCATTCTATCTTATCAAGATACTCAAAGCGCTTTACACTACAATCTGTACCCTCATTTACCAAGATTTAAAATCATACATAATAAAAATACAAACACCATTTTATCTTTCTATTTATGTGTGTCGGGACAGATTAAAACTCAAACTTCTCCCAGACTAGTACAAATATAAATACAAATTTTAGCTGCTATTCTCAAGTAAACCTGAATGCACTGAAGGTGAAAAACATTTGCTGTGTGTGGAAAGCAAGATTTTCACACTTGTAAGCAAAACTGTGTATAGGTTTATTTTCAGAGGGTTTGAAAAATGGTTAGTTTTTTCCTAATCTACATCACTCTTGCCACTGGGGTCCTGACGGTCAAAAAAGAGATGAATATGATGGGGGTTGATCTTCTGGTTGATTATCAAGCCGTGTGGCTGGCTGCTGGACTGATGGAGAAGGATAAGCTGGAGCTAAAAAGTCATACAGAGGAGCACTTGGTGGCAACTCGTTGGAGCCACTTGCTAGGTTTGCTTGTTGAGGTGCTGGATTTAAAACACCTGTGGGGACAAGATTTGGGTACAGAGGAGCAGGGAAATCACTGTAACTTGGGACCCCAAAAGCACCAGACGGATAAGGCCCCACCTCCTCACAAGGATAAGTCAAGCTAGGAGGAGCAATAGTCAGAGGAATGACCACCACTGGGTCAATGCGGAAACTGATGTCCAAATACACCTGGGAAACAAAGAAAAATCAGATAAAATCAGCTACTTTAGCGACATGTTCAGAAATGTTACATCTGAATTCATCTTAAACCAGTTTTATTTACCTACCTTGAGGACATAATCTACTGAGATAATCTCACAGTTATTAATATTGTAGATGGCAGAAGCAGGAATCACAACATTACAGGAGGAAGTGGCCTCAGAGTTTGGTTCGATAGTGTCCCCAACACATTTGAACAAGGTTTCATGGCTGAAGTTAGTGGATCCCCCAGCATGGTACGATATTTTCTTGAGTACACTGAATTTAGGTTTCATCGATTTGGAGGATGTGTTGCAGATTTTGGCAAAAGCAGTTAAAGTGTCACCTAAAACACATAAAACATAACATGCATGTGAATAAACTGTTTTTATCAGTAAACCTGAACATGTTGGGAAAAAAAAAATTACTGCACATTAAAAACAACAAATCTAACTCAGCTCCTTGAATTTTTTACGTCTTGTTTTTAGGTAAAACTCAAGATGTTAGTCTGTCATCAGCTTACCTGGTGAACACATATCTCTGTTAACAGAAGCAGTCAAATGGACCTCTCCTTTTGAGAAAACCCCCACCTTTTTATTAACTGATCCAGACTGAGGACACTATAAAACATAAAATCAAGATTTTAAAGTATTTTGCAAAAAAAGTATTTAAAATTAATTAAAATACAATCACTAACCCCTGTTCCACTAAACTTTAGAATGGACTTTGAGGCAAAATCGATCTCTTTCGTCGCTGTAGATGACCACCGCCATTTTCTTGATATCTTTGCTTGAAGAATGTATCTAATATGTCCGTGTAGCCCCTTAAAGGATGACGGCATACTCCTTTAAAACAAATCAAGGTTTAAGCATGGCTTGTTTCAAAATAAAAAGTAGCTGTAATACTTTCCAAATGCTGACAGCTAGAGTATCTCACTCACTCTGATGGGATTGTAAGCCTGAACTTAAAGTGGTGGATTCCTTTGGGGAGTACACTGCCTGCAAAAGAAGTGAGAAGTTCTTTCATTTGGCATTTTCATATTTATATACAACATTCATATTTGTGAAAGACATACACATATCAAATTTGTAGTTGTGGGAAGTTAAAAATAGAAGTAATTTCATTTAAGACCACAGTTTGAGACATAAGGTGGTGTTTTGGTATTGGTGGACAACAACTGAGCCTTTGTGGCAAAGTTTGACAAATAAGAAAAAGAACATACTGTAAACACCGACAAATAAGTTACATAAAGCTACTGGAACTGGTCATGGGGTTAATCCCTCATAGGAAAATGAGGCTCTCATTAACATGTGTTAAGGTCCATGTATTTTCATTCAACCTTTATTTATACAGGTTAGTTCCTATTGAGCCTCGAGAACTCATTTGCAAGAGAGACCTGTTACATACAGACATACAAAGTAGATAAGGAAAAGAGAATATGAAGGGTGGATGTTGTGGGTAAGATTGAATTAAAGTAAAAATAAGCAGACATGTGGATCAGGTTCAGTTCTCCTGTTTACGTCCTCACTTTCGTTTTTCTTCCTGTCACACTCTGTAAAGCATATTTTAAACGTACAGGCTTAGACTGCCCTCTAGTGCCCTTTCTATGCAATAACAATTCTACAACAGTTTCCACAGCTGAACACAATAGTGGAGGAGGTTAAAAAAAAACAACAACAACAAAACAACTCACACCATGTTCTGGCCGGGGCACAGTGTGAAAGTTGCAAAAAAAGAACTCGCAACATAAATTGCAACATACAATGACATCATAATACATTTATGCATGAGGAGGTCAAAGGCAGTGAGTTGTCTGTGGACACTGCCAGAAAGTTCCAAAGTTTTGATAAGATGGTGCAGTGTCTATCAGAGGCTCAGTTCTGATAAGGCCCACAGATGTCCTCAGGAGAGTGGGGTAGGAGGAGAGAAGGAGCAGCAGAGTGTCATTATTCACACAATCTCTGGGAGAAATTTGAGATAGCTGGCCTATTAAAGGCCAAGTGGGGAAGCCAGATTTGATAATTGTTTTGGGACAGGCAGACTGCTTGATTTTTTTTTTTTTTTGTCTGCCTTCAAAAGTTTTGCTTGTCCTTCTCAATGGTGAATCCGAAAAGTCAAATTTTGTGGTCATTCCACCGGACGTGGTGCTTGTAGCCTTCCGCAAGGTCGAATCCTTCACGCCAGCGAGTTCCAGAAGCCGCAAGTGGCCTGTGATTCTCTGAAATCACATCCAGCTTAAGGCTTAGCTCACAAAGCATCCGAGTCTGGGCGCTCGAAGCGCAGCACATTCATTCACACATGGCAGGCAGCTTCAAAATTGCCAGAGCCAAAGCCGACATCTTGCAAATTTGTCGATAAGCCAGAAACCCACCGATTCTAAAAAGAAGAAATCCCGCTATCATAAATCCAATTATGTATGCGTCTTCTACGTCCTCAATGGACAAAACGAACAGACACACCAAATTCCACTGGCCCCAGGAATCCATAGTGTATCCCGAAGCAAATGTCCCTTCAGGGCATGAAGGCTCTCCTTCACCCTGTCTTCTTGTCGAGAAAATTTTATCAATTGAGTTGAGAGACCAGCTGACCAATTGATGTCCGTAGTACTGCCAGTATACAGGTACTGGCATGAGAGAGAGACACAGATTGGCCAAAAAGGGTTTCAAATGAATTTACAAAAACTCAAAATACCACAGATCTGGGCTCATAAGAGGTTAACAGAACAAAATTAAACTAAAATACAGAATAGGAATAAAGCATTAATTGACCCTATGATTGAAATGAGGGAAACATAAAGTGGCTGATGGGTAATTCTGAAACAATGGTGCCTGGGGGGCGGGGGGGCACATATTAAATAGACTAAATTACAAGTAGTGTTAGCAACAAACATAACTGATCAAAGTAGTGCTAAATAATAACCCAAGAAAGAAAATTCATATTTTAGACAAAGATGTAAAAATCAAATAACGATATTTAACTTCTCCCCCTGCTGGCATACAACAAGGCACAGCCCAGTTAGACTAATCTCTAGATGTGATGCAGCTGAGGCAGTTTACAGTGAGTGGTAGGACAACTTCAGCAGCATCTCCACAGGAACCAACAAATCAAAGAAACAAAAGTTAAACTAAAAAGTTCCTGGAAAAACTTTGATGGGGACTGCCAAGCTGCTGACAATTTTAAAATGTGATTCGAGTATATGTTTGGGATCGTTGTCAGCTACCACTATACCAAATTTCAGCTGAATAGCTCTAAAAATGGGAGAGTTATCATTCTTTTTCTTATTTAGCCAAATCGTCCATCTTGGATTTTTGATTTGCATTAGGAATGTAGAACAACTCGCTCTCAGCTACAATCTTACTAAATTTCATCCCAATATATAAAAACATAACAGATTTATAGTCAATTATGTGTTTGCTGAGGCTGCTGTGGCAGCCATCTTGAATCAAAATGGCTCCAAACGCCACTCATTTTCTCTGAAAAGTTTTCTCCTATTCATTTCCTATGGGAAATTTGGCATCTTTGTTAGCAAAATATGTCACCATGGTAACTGCGAACGCCAATAAAAGTACTTGCACACTTCCTAGTGCTGGGCCGGTCGTTTTGATATAACCTTTGTGGGGGTCCACGTTGCGTTTCAGGCCACAATAAAGTTGAAAAAGATACACTTTTCAGGTGTAGAATATTAAGTGGGCAGTCACCAACTAGTTCCTGGAGTTGGTGAAATATTGCGTCTTCGTTCACAAATGACGTCGCTATGGTAACTCGAAATGCCAATAAAAGTAACAGCACACATCACGGGGCCAAGCCAGTCGTTTTGATACTACTTTTGTTGGGGTAGACATTGTGGTTCGGGCCACATTAACGGAGATAGAAATGTAGGCACTCTTACGAGGTGTAGAATAATGGCAGGCACCAATAATTGAAAACGACTACTAAACTGCAGCAAGACTTAACAAAGGGTGTTAACTAAATGTGTGCACTCCAACCAGTAAACAACTATATCAATGTGAAAATAAAACTGCATTAATATATAGACACTCAGTTATTGAACTCAGGTTAATCTGAACTTGTGCATATTTACAATCAGCAAAAAACATGAGACCAACTTTTTTACCTTAACCTTTGTTTCCTGTGTGGCTGTAAGTACTACCGTCACAACATGTCATAGGCAAATGTTGCTCAATTTTTACAATGGAATTACCTCATTTACGATTTTAAACCCTGCCTACATGAACTCTGACACATTTCTCCAACTGGAAGAAACCAACATCACTTAACAGAGGATTAGTGCATACAAATAAGCCATAGACCGTGAAGACTGTTTCAACAATTGATAGCATGCTTTTTTAATACCTCACTGAATGTAGACACTATTTTTTTAATAGCCACTCATGGAACAACACTATCTACCAAAAGCACTGTACCTTTCTCTGGCCTCTGAATTAGATTCATATTCAGACAACTTTATTTATCCCCAAAAGACAACTCCGTTTGGCAGTTTCCAGATTTACACCCACACACATACATGTGCTTATACAGTATGCCTAAAAGCCATAAGAAATCAGCATCACAACTCAACCATTTTTGTGGTAAAGCTGCAGGTATAACTCAGATTTATGTGGCAGAAGGAATAAAGGAGTGAGACACACCATTTGTCTTCCTGTGTGGTGCTATAAGCAGTGGCTTGAAGGCATCAGTATAAATTCAGAAAACAGGATATGGTTCCATTGGGATACTATTTCCCTATTTTTACGAAGCCCTGCTTCTCCCACAAGGACTACAGGTCCCTCTGCTGGACCAAAATTATTTTGGAACAAACCTTAACAATACTCTGAAGACTGTTCTTACATCCTTTACCAACAGATCATGGAAACAAGAAATTAAGGAAAAAGTTAAGATACTTTCAATAAATGACTGATTAAAAAAAAATACATAGTTTCCTTACAGATGTTAAAAGAACTTAACTTCCTCAGTAAATGGATTCTCTGCTCTTGCTTGACAATACACTCAGTGCTCATATCAAATTTTAGTTTGGAATGACACAGTTACCAAGTATTTGCATAAGTTCACAATTTCCACATCTTTTCCATGAATGGAACAGAGCTTAGGCATTCTCCCATTTTTACCAAAATCCAACACAAGCTCCTTTTGTTTTAGAGGCATTAAGATAAAGACGACTGTCATCACAGCAGTCCACAAAAACAGGTAGGGCACCACCGTGGTCTGACTCTGAACCTTAAAGAAAGGTTTAGAGTGCAGTGTCGTCAAAAACTCAACCAGATCGCTACCTTCTGTAAAAGACCTGTAGTCTGTAGACAAAAAACAATAAATAAAACTTGGTCAATTTATTACACGCAGTTCTTTTAAAATAATTTTATTAATTTCTTTCAGTTATTGACGGGTGTTTTTTTGCTACTTAACTGCAAGCTCTAAATAACTTTAGTCTATTTAAGGCAGGGATGAGCAGCTCCCCCCCTTCCCTTTGTAGAAAGTCTATTATTCTGAGTTAAACGGAGTCAAAAGGCCACACCTTGAAATTAAATATGAACAACAAAAGCAGATAAAGTCCATGCTCAATAATCCAGGTACACAATCCAACAATTTTCAGTCAGGTCATCTGGACAGTTTCTTTTATTGTGCTGAAACGTTTCACCTTCGATCCGGAAGGCTTCATCAGTCAAGGAAACGCACAACAAAACTGATACTGCCCCCAAACATCTTACTCCAAAGTGAAACAAACCAGTTTTGCTTGTGATAAGATGGTCTCTTTGGTACGCCCCCTCCTCCATTGCCGGTCCTCTTCCTTGTTGACAGTCGTGTCAAACTGGTTGTTGTTGTTTTCAACCAGGCGAAACGTTTCAGCACAAAAAAAAAAGAAACTGTCCAGATGACCTGACTGAAAAATGTTGGAACAAAAGCAGATCTCATCTACCAAACGTTAGGTTACATAATCCCTCTAAATTACATAGTCAGAGAAAGTGCTGCTCTGTTTTGTTCATTCAACAGCGTGTATAACTTAAGTCTGAACGGTCATGTCATATTTCATCTGACTTTTACATTAATGAGGTAGGGGTATAACTGATCCAAATATTAATAATACCACCCTCATGCAGTTTAAACCTTGGAACTCTGCATGTCTTCAGCTACAGAACAAAGGTCCAGTTGCTTCATCATTTGTGTTTTTACTTCCCCTGTCCTGGCTGACTAGGAATCTGTAGCAACATAAATTAGTGTTGAATGGTGTCGATAGTAACGTGATTGGTCAAGATTGATGCTTAAGGTTTTTTTTTGTTTGTTTTTTTTTAACCTTCAGTACGTCGCTCCTGTTCCAGAAATAAAATTTTGCACTGGAGGAACCATCAATATGCCAGATTAAATGTAAACACTGATCAAAACAACCATGTCAGAAGATTTAATCAGTTCTGATCGCACAAGAATCGTATGCGAACACGTCCATATTTATTTCTTTAAACAGCACGCTGCATGTGATATCTTCTTGTCTTCTGCACATGCGAGTCACTGCAGAACTGTTAGCAGATCACACAGAATCTGGTGGATGTTGCATTTTAATGATGATGTGAATGAGCACGCAAAAAAAAAAAAAAGTCAGATCTGAAAATAATTAGACTTGAGCATTAAGACCTGCAGCGTGAATGTAGCCCGTGTGGAGGTGTGATGGACTTGCAACCCGTCCAGGGAGCGCTCAGCCTCTCGCACAGTGACTGCTGGATATGGACAACAGTACCTCCATAACAGTCTTTGGAAATGTGAGTAAAGAAACTGGATGGATGGAGTTTATAAGGCAGAGTTAGAAAGAGTGCTGCCTGTGGTCGTAACACACCTATAACCAAAACTACGTTAGAAATAGATCTTCTTTATGGGTCCCAGCAGTGAGCAAACTCTGACGAAATCCTGATGCAACACGGGCTCAAACTCCAAGCCTCAGGATTACAAGACAGACTACAAGCATGTCTTAAAGACATAAAAACATGGATGACCCTAAACTTTCTGCTTTTGAATACAGACGAGACTGAGGTTTTAGTTTTTGGACCCGAGCATCTTAGGAATAATTTTTTCAGTCTTTCTCCCTCCTTAGATGACGTTAATCTGGCCTCTAGCTCTAATGTTAAAAAGCTTGGTGTTATTTTTGATCAGGACATGTCTTTTAACCCATTAAAAACATTACTAGAACCGCCTTTTCCCACCAGTGTAATGTCACTAAAATTAGAAACATCTTATCTAAAAATTATGCAGAAAAACTGGTTTGTGCATTAACATGTCTAGACTGGACTAATGCAACGGTTTGGTATCTGGATGTCCAATTACTTCTTTAAAAAGTCTTCAGTTGATCCAAAATGCTGCTGCCAGAGTCTTAACTGGAGTTAGTGGGAGATTGCTCATCAGGCTCTTCTCTTGTTGAACCAACTTCCAGTTTCTGTCCATAAGGCTGACACATTGTCCAGTTTTAAGACTGGGCTGAAGACTTTCCTTTTTGATAATCCTATAATTAGGGTCGGCTTGTTATGCTGTGTTTAAGTTTAGACTACTAGAGGACAAATTGGCCTCATTTCCTTAAACAAATTGTTAAAATTAAATAGTTTCATTTGAAACCATTGTTATCTTAACATGCGATTCTTGACCTGCCATTGTGTATCTGTTCCTCTCAAACCCAGCTGGTCAAAGCAGATGGCCACTTGTCCTGAGCCTGGTTCTGCTTGAGAGTTCTTCCTCATGAGGGAGTTTTTCCTTTCCACTGTCGCCTTCATGCTTGCTCAAGATAAGAGTCTGTGATGGAGTTAAATTCAAAGCGGTCTGCTCCTCAGATAATGTTAAATTATTATTTTTATATATGACTGTTTCTGTTCAGTGCCCCGAGACGACTTCTGTTGTGACTATATAAATAAACTGAAATGAATTTTTTTTTAAAATTGAAGATCACAGCAGTTACCACCAGGCAACCACAGCCCCGTTCCACTTGCTTCAAGGTGTATTTAGAAAATAAATTAATTAATTAATTCAAAATACTTAAAGTAGTTTTGTTTTTATCTGAAGATACCAAAGATTGGACGGATACATATCAACCCCTTTAGATGTTTACCTGGATACGGACCTTCAGAAATCCTTAAAAATCACCAAAAAAAAAAAAAAAATCCTTAGTACTCTCACACCACGGACTTTATACACAACATAAATATTATGTTGAAAGTAAACAACAGAAATACACAGAAAACAGCTCGCCGTCCTCACAGGTGATCCTGGTCGTATTCAATTATTACTGCACACAGTTGTAAAAGAAGTTCAAACAATGAATGGCCTTTGGCTCATGGAAGCAAGACACTTCTTTTTGTACATCTCATGATTTACTTACATTCTTCAGGTACCAAGCAGCGCGCGGGTCATCTCCATCCTGGATGGTGATGACCTGGGGACTAGCTGCTTTAGACCCATATAGGCCACACTTTTGCCAACGCGTGTCTTAAATAAACTTTCAGTTTAAGATTTTGTAAATGTGCTGAGCACAACAGGTTAATTCAGTCTACTCTTAAAAAAAAAAGTCTCAAAGGAGCAATATAAACACCTCACAGCATCTTATGTTCCTTATGACCTGCATAACATGTTTTTAATTAATTCAGTTAAGTGTTAATTTAAATCTGCTGCAGTCTAAGACAAAGGGACCTTCGTGTGGCTCACCTGTTGCATCCTCTGGCACCACGAAGTGTTTCTCTTTAAAATAGCTCCTGTACGCGCTGTAGCTGCGCTCGTCATCCCCGCTCCCCTCCGTCCAGCTGCAGTACGCTTCCCCTTTAGCCTTCACGGAAACGCTCTTCACTTTCGTGTCTTTTGTCAGGTTGAAGGACAACACCCCCGTGATCGTATCTCCCTCTGAATACGCGTCTTCTTTGTCACAAGTGATGGTTAGGTTTTCAATCGGAGACATTTTTTTTTTTTAAAAGTGAGTCTTCGACTTGAGGTCTGTCTGGACTGGATCCTGTCACAACTTCTTCTTGTTCCCGCATCCGGGTGCTGGACCGCCCTGGTTCCGCCCCAGAGCATCAACACAGCTCATATTACTGCTGACATGCTCTGGAAATCCTTTTTCTTCCTTTTTTAAAAAAAATGAAACTAAAGAGATTGCGCTCCTTAAAGGAATATTCCGGCTATTTTGAAGTGTAGTTCTGTGAGAAATAAAGAACAGTCCTTCCAGTGGTGGACATCTTCAATCATGAGTTGACCTTTTTTAATATGAATGCGTAAATCCGGACACCACACGCCCTTGAACAGGGTCATAGCCATATATGGTCATAGCTATTTCCGGTCGGTGTTCAACTGATTTGTTTTGATCCTTTACACCTGCTTCATATTGACTTTACACAGGCAGGAGCAGCTCCTCAAATTTAATAGATAGAATTTAGATGAGGTATAAAGGTTAAGTTATTTCACAGAATTTTTTTTTTTTTTTTTTTTTTTTTGTTGCCTGTATATCTCCTGCTCACATTCCAGCTCAGTAGGTGGCGGTAATGCACCTAACAGTTGGTATGCCAACCGCCATAAAACAATACTAGAAGAAGAAGAAGAAGAAGAAGGAGCAGCTCCTGACGCTGGTTCTATAAAATCCAAAAGAAAACTGGAGAAATGAAGTACAGGGAGGACGAGGAGAGAAGAGATAATTATTTCTCGTCTCAGATTTGGGCGTACTGGGTTAAACAGCACTCTTTTTATTTTAGAGCAACGCTGCACTGGTAAATGTGAGTACTGTGGAGCAGATGAGACAGTAGAGCATGTAATGTTACACTGCCAAAAGTATGAGGAAGAAAGACAACAGTTGATTCAAAATTTAAATAAAATTAAAGTAAAACTAGATTTAATTGATTTATTCAGAAATAACTTGAATAGTAAAATTTAATCAGATAATCTTTAGTTATCCTAAATTAACACAGTTAAGAGAATTTAACCCTTGAGTGACATTTTGGTCCACACTCCTTACCAGTCGGTGGCGATAATGCACCAATTTTGTTGTTTGCCAACTGCCAATAAACCTCAAAGAAGAAGAGGAAGGAGCAGCTCCTGGATGAGTTCAGAGGACTGACGGAGGAGGACTGTGAGGTTGGAGTCGGACAAACTTTTCAAGGGCGGTAGGAGCTGTATATTGTTTGATGGATTGCATAAACTGAGCACTGACTGTAGCACCATGGCCTCCACTTCAGGTGGAAATAGTGGAAATGAAATGAAATGGATAATGACAAAATCAGCAAGAATGAAAAAAGCTCAAAGGAAAAGACATGAAAGAGACAGAAGCTGGTCAGAAGATAGTGAATTACGAATAGACACAAGTAAAAAGACAAAAACAAATACAAGTCCAAGGAAGCAAACACGGGTGGATATAATAAGGGAAGATGAATGGAAAGTAATGGTGGAGTTTAATCAAGAGGGAAGATATTTTCATCTGATAAAATTAACAAAGGCAATACAGGAAGAAATGGGTAAAATAAAGTTGGCCAGAATTATGAACAATAAGAGAATTCTTATTAATGCAATCAACAAACAACAGCAGCATAAACTATTAAAAATGAATACCCTACTGGGAGAAATGATCAAAAACTTACATTCCAGGTTCTTTAGCCAGACTTAGAGGAGTTATTTCAGGAGTTCCATTAGAAATGACAACTGAGGAAATTAAACAAGAAATCAGAGGAGGGAAAGTTGCAGAAGTAACAAGGATTCAAAATAAAAAAGATGGAGTCAGCAAAGAAATAATGTCTGTTATATTACAGTTTGAGAACATAATACCAGTAAGTGTTCAGATGGGAAATGTAAACTACAGGGTTAGAGAATATATTCCAAATCCTCTCAGGTGCTTCATATGCCAGAGAATGGGGCACATTGCAAAAGATTGCAAAGGAAAAGCAAGGTGTGCAAGATGTGGGGGTCCTCATGAATACGGGACGTGTGAGAAAGACTCAAAGGTAAAATATAACTGTGGAGGAGAGTACAGTGCAGCATATGGAGGGTGTGTAGTACAGAGGGAAGCCAGCGAAGCACAAAGAATTAAAATAACAGAGAGTAACATATGCTGAAGCATTGAAGAGAGTGAGGAAAGTAAATATAAAAGAAGTGAGGAATGAAAAAACAAACCAGAGAAACAAAGTACAAAGCATAAGTGTATTACAGAACACTGGTAATCAAAATCAAACACTAGTGCCACCAGTAGTTAAACAAATCAGTTGCAGTCGCAAGTGTAATGTAACTGAAAATTCAATGATGGTGGAAAAAGATAAGTTTGTGGCATTCATCTGTCATATTGTCAATGTAGCAATCCAAATGCCAAAGAAAAGTGACAAAATTAAGGCAATAGTGGCAGCAGCAGGAAAGTATCTGGACATGAAAGAAGTACAAGCAGATCAGATATCCTACTAAATACATCTGGAGATTCAGGAAATGGTCAAGGAAAGGAATAAAAATGGTTTTTCATATATTACAATGGGCAGCACGATGGCGCAACTGGTAGAGCTGCTGCCTCTCAGCGAACAGGTCCCTGGTTCAAACCCCGGTCCAGGTGCCTTCTGGGTGGAGTTTGCATGTTCTCTCCGTGCATGCGTGGGTTTTCTCCGGGTACTCCGGTTTCCTCCCACAGACCAAAAACATGCATGTTAGGCTGATTGGTAACTCTAAATTGTCCCTAGGTGTGAGTGAGAGAGTGAATGGTTGTTTGTCTCGTTTGTCTCTATGTGGCCCTGTGATGGACTTGCGACCCGTCCAGGGTGTACCCCGCCCCTCGCACAGTGATTGCTGGACATGGGCACCAGCGACCCCCGTGATCCAAAATGGAATAAACGGGTAAAGATAATGGATGGATATATTACAATGGAATGCAAGGAGTTTGGACAAGAACTTAAAATATACATCTATGAGTTGGAGATAGTTCCAGACATAATCTGTGTACAGGAAACTTGGTTAAAACCCCTTTTAGAATTCAGAATTCATGGATACAGTACACTAAGGAAAGACAGAAGTACTGGAGGTAGTGGAGGTGGGTGTGCGACATTTATCAAAGATGGAATAGCATACAAGGAAATTTACAACGCAACAGAACATGAATGTGTAAGCATTGATATTTTCAATTTAAAAAGTATTGGACACCTTAAGATAATACATTTTTATAACCTATGTAAAAACCTAGAAAATTACATATTTAAGAAAACATCTGGAGGTATAAACAGGAGAGAAATATGGTGTGGAGATTTTAATGCACACAATAGTCTATGGGGTAGCAGCAAAACAGACTTCAATGGCAATATAATAGAAGAAATGGTGGATGAAAGATCACTGGTTTGTATTAATGATGGTCAAGGCACACGATTTAATAACAATAAAGGTTCATTTGCATGTTTAGATTTAACTCTAGTATCAGATAATCTTGTAAAATCCTGTGAATGGAGGGTAAATGGAGATTCAACATTGGGCAGTGACCACTTTCCAATCAGCACAGTCATAAATGACAATATAACCAATCAAGAGGAAATAATTTCAACCAGATGGTGCTTTAATAAAGCTGACTTGGAAATTTTTAAAATAAAATGTGAAAAGAATAATCACTTAGTAAATCTTAAAGGAAACGTAGACGACTGCAACAACCAGATAACATAACTCATTTTAAATGCAGCAAACTCAAGCATTCCAAAAGTAGTAATAAAAAGAAAATCAAAAGTGGTTCCATGGTGGAATGATGAATGTAGTAAAGTAATTAAAGAAAGAAACAAGGCTATAAAAACCTTACAGAAAAATATGAATGAAGAAAACCTTATAGATTTTAAAAAGAAAAGGGCAGTAGCTCGTAGGACTATTAAAGAGGCAAAAACGAAAACTTGGAGCGATTATTGTTCATCCATAGGTTATAAAATAAATTTAAAACAGGTGTGGACAATGATTAAGAAAATGAGTGGGAAAAGAAGTGAAGTTAAAATTCCAGCTTTGGTTAAAAATAATGAGAAAATGGTTTCAAATAAAGAAAAGGCTGATACTTTGGGTGAGGTGTTTGCTGCAGTTCACAGTGGAGAACATCTAGGAAACGATGACAGGCAGCAAAAAGAACAAAAACTCAAAACATTTAGTAACGTAGGACAGAAGAAAAATAGATCTATGTCAACACTTGATGAAAATATAACTATGAAAGAAATCAAAATGGTGTTAAACGATAAAGGATATTCAGCTCCAGGAGAGGACAGCCTGTGGTATGTCATGTTTAGACATATACCTGAAACAACGTTAACTGTCATTCTAAAAGTATTCAATAAAATATGGAAAGAAGGAACATTACCAAAGAGCTGGAAAAGAGCCATAATTTTACCATTTAATAAACCAGGGAAAGATCCATCAAGCTCAGACAACTACAGACCCATAGCATTAACTTCTCATTTGTGTAAATTAATGGAGAAAATATTAACAGATTAATGTATGTAATTGAAAAAAGATAACTTATTAGCAATTACCAGGGCGGTTTTAGAACTGGTCGGTCCACAGTAGCTGCACTGGTAAGTGTGTAATGATATGGAAAATACATAAAAAAATTAAATAAATTATGATCATTGTTTTCTTTGAGGTAGAAAAAACCTATGATTCTATGTGGAGGGAAAGACTGCTAATAAAGTTAGAGGAAATGGGAATACATGGAAGGTTGTATAACTGGATTACCAGTTTCTTTAAATATAGGAAAATGAAAGTAAAAGTTGGGGGTGAATTATCAAGAGACTTCAATGTGTAAAACGGCACCCCTCAAGGCAGTGTAGTTAGTCCAATATTATTTAACATCATGATTAATGATATTTTTTTGAATCTTGACAGAGGCATAAAAACTGCTTTATATGCAGATGGTGAAGCAATATGGATGAGGGGGAGAAATGTTCCACGTGTAGTTAAAAGCATAAGAAAAGCAATCAATAAAATAGAGAACTGGTCTTATGAATGGGGTTTCAAACTGTCAATAAGCAAAACCAGCTACATGATGATAAACAAAAAGAAGATGCATATTGGAAATTTATTATTATATGGTCAACCTTTAAAAATGGTTAGTGAATTTAAATATCTAGGTTTATGGTTAGACACATCATACACATGGCAAACATATTTAAAACAGG